ATTCGTCCGTTTGAATTTCACTAATTTCAGTAAGAGCATGTGTCCGTCGATTGCAGTCAAGATTGTGGGTTTAAAATATTATTCGGGCTCCAGTCATTTCAGACAGAATCTTTAAATAGGTAGTTTCATCACAAGCTGTATGCTAAAAACTTAAATTAATCCACACTCTTTAGAAAGAAATATGAATTTATACATTACACAATTTTTCTCTAGCTTTCTAAAAGAAAAATAAAGCAATCTCAATTTTTAATGAAGACACACACACACACACACACACACACACACACACACACACACACACATTTTTACATTTTAGAACCTATTATTACACAAATGTTAAATTAAAAAAATTTTTTTTTAAGCGGAAACATATTTCATTATGCTTTAAAATTCTTAAAATCTTTAAATTTTAAAATATTTTTAGCTAAGTGTTCAGATTCTAATATAATAAAATTTATAAACTTCTATCAATTTTTTTTATATTTTTCCAGAAGCAATACGCACTGAAAAATTATATACTGTATTGTAAAAACAGAGCATAAAATCAAGTTCATGAACACGAAAATAAAATTTTCTTATAAAACTTTCTTGATCAGTTTGAAATTGATCTTTCCTTATTCTAAATAAAATTCTTTATTCAACGTCGAATTTATATTAAAGAGCAAACAATTCGTGTATTGAAATACAGCATAATCAATATTACAGCATATACATACACATTCTAGTATTACGATTTAATATAACATTATGGTTCATAATATCCAATGACTACATTATTCACGATAATTATCGCGAAATATCCGCCGCTCTAATTATAACTTTTTACAGCCAGATTTAATTTATCGAATCTAATAACCATGTTGTGGGAGCATGTTGAAAAATAAAAATCCTTCCAGCGCAATGTATCAGGAATTCAAAGATCTTGACCGCTGCGTACCTTGTAACGGGAATGCTCGTTATCATTATCGCAATGACATTTCGTGACGGTGGTAATGATCTTGCCGAGGCTGCGGGATCAAGCACGCGGGTAGGCGGTGATGATAATGATGATAACGAAGTGGAATCTCTCGCCGTTGAAACAGCGATCGCGCGCGGTCGGCGATCCTTGAGGAGCAATGCATTTCTAGGCTGCCAGCCGCAGAAAGACTTCAATCCCGCGATCGCCGATGCGGAACAATTGCGTAATGAGATCGCAGGGGGGATTTCTGAAGTCCGCTCACGAATTTCGAGGCGAATTACGACGAGCGACACGACGGCGCGACGTGCGACGACGATGACGGCGATGCGTCTGGAAATGTCAGACAACGGCCCGGCAGATGCGGCCTGCTACAAATTTATTCTTCACAATGACGCACGTTACATCACTACCGGATGTTCTCTTTCTCACCGACGCCAAGAGAGTTAAACTAAGAGAAATGGCGGTCGCTACCCAATGCCAAGGCGGCGATAGTTACAGAGCGATTTTAACGTGGATGATTAAATACTAACGCGTCGAATTGCACGTAATATTTATAGTCGTGTCGCTGATCCTCGCAAATTGCATACTTTATCTCGTGGGGAGATTACTGTAATTAATTTTGTACCGTAATAAATTTGGATATTCCTTAAATTTGTGTGAATACATTGTTTGCGCGATTTGTATTTTTATTAATTTAATTTATTTTAATCTATTGTTAACTATCATAAATTGATTGTGACTAAATTGTAATATGATTACAGTTTTGTTTAATTCTTCAGGCATAATTCACTTAATTCTCGTGTAAATACTTAAAAATATTTTTTAAGTTATGATTATCATATTAGTTTGTTATCATATTTAATTTAGCTGTAACAATTTATTCTTATAGTTGTTCAAAGGAAAATATAGTTGCATTGTTAAAAAAAATGCTATTGTATGTAACAACTTTCTTAGTGTGATATAATTATAAATTAAAACGAGATAAATTACACTGATAAATGCCATCATTTTACATTTTTTCACATGATTAATACTTCAGATAATACTCGTATGATTAATACTTCAAATAATACTTTTCTGATTTGTAAAACAAAAGCGAGAACAAGGGTTTTACTGAAACATATAAAAATTTAGTTATATACAGATCTGAAAATAAGTTAAGCCATCAAAACAATTATGTAGGATTAAACATAATATTGAAAATACTTTTGATATTTTAGCAACAAATTTGACTATTCCGCAATCAATTTCGTCCAATGAAATTATCCACAAATCTGCATGCGACCAAATTTTTAAATACTTCAGCAAAACCATTCTTTTCGTATATAATAGCACTCCGCTGTTCGTAATAGTTTTCTCTGTTTGCCATTACGTAATAAAAAATATAATTCTCTTGATTAGCAAAGAAATTGACTCAATGTTTCTTAATCGGTTCACCGAACGCGCGCTTGTCCTACTCATACCTCTTTGCTCTAGCCAAGAGGCGTATCGCTTTCTTGGGAGGGGAAGGAGGGATTCCTTATTAAGAAAGAATATCGCTCGTCTGGGGACCGTTTAAGTTCGCAATGCCGCGGGGGCGTTCAATTACCAATGACAGCTGCGTGCCCGGCGCGGTACGTCGGTAGCAGACGGCCGGGCGCGATTGCGCCGCGCCGCATCAACGTCGCCCTGATATGAGAACCCCGAGACTAACCGAGTCAACTGCGGGACAATCTAGCCATCAGTCTTAAACGGAATATATTTACGAGGCCGGGCCGAGAGAGCGCGGCTATGCCGACCAATTACATCGCGCGGCATCCGCTTTCCTCGGGCTCGACCCCCGGGGCCCGCCGTCGGCCCCCTTTGCTTTTTCACGCTCGCGTTTACTCGCTCCCGTCCATTCTGGGCCGCACGCCGCAAATATTGGCGGATTCGAAATCGCTTCGAGACCGGTAAAGCAATCACCGTCGGTACCGTGCGGCCGGATCGCGGGGAATTCTGCGTTTAATTGTAATGAAGGACGAGCGCGTAACCGGATATACCCTAAACCGGTTAATTTCGAAAACCGAGGTAGTTGAAATTAACCGGCTTAATCTGATTGTAACGCTTGATACGCGATGATTTTCGCTCGCGGCCGCTCCATTCGCGTCCACGCAAAGGAAACAGGCAGGATTATATGTCGTTGAAATTAATGCGGGATAATCCCTCCAACGAAATAACAGAGCTTCGACAAGCTTTCGCTACGGGCAGCTTATGAATTTCATAGAAATTGTTTTATATTAAAACTGTTTTATTTTCATAATTTGTTTTTTGTTTTATTCTTTTATTGTTTTTTTGTGTATCGTGATGATACTTTAATTTTCAGTTTTAATCATTCGACTAAAAATACTTATTCTGTATAAATAAAATAAATAAAAAAAGAGAAAGATTTTACAAAACATAATATAAAAATATTTTTATAAAAACTTGAGAAAAAATAAAGGATAGGATGATTACTGTTATTAATTATAATTAATTATAAATTTCATCAATCATCGACAAGATTTCGTTCAACAAAGGGCTCTCTCACAACAGTTATCTTCATACACAAATATTAATACGATTATATTATTTCATTTATATCAGTTTTTACTAATTGGGCTTTATTTTATTTTTGATTATAGTTTTTTTGATAACATTTTGACTTTTATCTTTTATCAATATTTTCGTTTCTGACCGAAGAATAGTTTCGATCTCTACAATTTTAATTATAAATGAAAAACAATTTTGGACCTACATATATCTACCAATATAACTATGAGAAAATTGTTTTTTACACGTTCGTATTATATTTGTCATTATTACATTTATTTTACAATTTATTTATTATAAAAAGGCATCATATTTATTATAAAAATGTCTAATTTATAATCTTTTAACTTATGCTGTTATAATTCGACCAATATGCGCTTAATATTGTAATGTAATTGTTTTCTTTGACTTCTCTCATCTTGATGACTGAGGAAGATTAAATAAAAATCGAAACATGTCTCATTTTTATCGTGTCTTTCGTAATTGAATAAATGATTATGCAGTAATTTCCATACACGAAAAAAAATAAACATTTTTTCGCACAAAGCCGTTTTATTTCCATGATTCATTTTATTTCTTCTTTTGTATATTGTAATGATGTTTTAATCCTCGATTTGGTGTCCCAAAAATATTTATTCTAAAATATTCAAAAGTATTTATTAAGATGAACAAAAAAGAAAAAAAAAAGTTTTACAAAGTATGATTATCAAAAATATTTTTACACAAAATTCCCATATGATTAAGCAATAATTTCCACATGCTGAATAAAAAAAATAAACATTTTTGGCCCACTAAAGCTATTTTATTTCCATTTATTTTCTTCTTTTGTGCACTGTGACGTTTTTAATCTCCGATTTGTATCATTCAGCAACCTGAAAATATTTATTTTGTACCAAAATAAATGAAAAAGCAGAAAAAAATTGTACAGAGCACAGTTACAAAAAATATTTCTATACGAAATTATCGTATGTATGCGATAATTAGCATAAAATAGCATGCCTAAGAGAAAAAAGAAACATTTTTTTCACATATTATAAATTTACAAGAGATATCCGTGTAAGAGATATTATTTAGATCGCGCTTAACGTAGAAGTCGGCCATGTGGATGATAAATCTGTCAGTCATCCCGACGCCTCGGGCACTACAGTAATTGTTAGAGAAAGTTCATTATTATGTTCGCGGACCTATTTTTAATATTTCGCGTTCGCGACTCGCGGCGAGAGCTCTCCCATTCTCGACGGCGAGTGCATAACCGACCGGCTTTAATCGTGTGACCGGGACCCCCGCATTCGATAACCGCGCCGGATAAGGAAAGGTCGATAAACGTCGCGGGTGAGCCACCCTGTAGACCGACCAGCCCGTCGTGGAGAACTCCGGTGGGCTTCTCAGGGCGGAGGGTAATCGGAGTGGTAGCGCCTGCGCCTGAAACACAACCGCCGCAAATCTACCCCTGTTATCGCCATGTCAGGACCGGCAGTTCCATCTCGGGCTTACGCGCCGCAGGGAGGTCGGACGATTTCCTCTCGTCGTCGTCGTCGTCGTCGTCATCGTCGTTGTCGTCGTCATCCTTGTCAACTTCATCGTTCTCGTTATCGTCGTCGTCGATAGTTCGGTCGGGCGCAGTCCGCCGCAGGACCGTCGACAAATATGCGGAAAGTGTGGTCGAAGGGTGTCTGAAGATGCAGCCACGGCCGGCCCCTTCGTGCGGGACGAAAATCAAGTCGCGTCCTCGTCCTCGCGCCGCTCCACGCCGTCGTCCTCGCGACGTCGGGACGTCGTTACCGCTCGCTGACCCGCGAATCGGTCCCCCGGGACCCGAAACCGCCAAGGGATGCTCGCGGAAATGGTCCGGCTCTCCTACCAGCACAGGGCGTTCTACTGCTACGTGATTCTGAGCGTGTGGATCTTCCTGCTGGTCGCTGGTAAACGCAACCAACGTGGTCCCGCGATTTAGAGATCGAGAAATCGGCGTAATTTCAAATCGCGTTCTCTCGATCTCGAGAGAACGCCGCGTTAGAGGATGATTCGTGCATCCATTCGATTCGCGACACAAACGCGACACTTCACCGCGTCTTACGTCGCAAAAAGAAATTGAACTCGCGTCGAGATTAATCGGGATTTCGGAGAGAATGCAGGGAAGAAAAAAATTGTTTTGCGTTTTTTTTGCAATTGTCCTTCTGATTCCTCCTTCCTTCCGAGATGCCTGAATTTTTCAACCCATTGGCACCATTACCGGATTCTTATTTTTAAATATAGGATAGGATCTGTCACGTAGCTACTTGAACGCTTCTCCGCTTCGTATTATCACGTCTTCGACTTTAATAATAGAACTGTAATAATAGAACGCTTTAGTTTTTCAATAACGGATAATATAGCTGTATACGTTATCAGGTGCCATCAGGGCGACGGCTATTTTGCTTTCTTTTTGTCATAAAGTAAGGGAAGTGTCCAATCATAGTCGTTGGTCGATTTAACATGCATGTATGTCAAATCGATCGTCAGGAAAAAAACAGATTCAATATAATCTATTCGACAAAGATCTTTCCTGTTTGACATTTGATTTTTTTGTCAAAGTATGAATTGAGAATTGACACAAATTTGTTGCAAGTTTAATTATTTTAATATTAGTATGCTAGTAGCTTAAATCAAAAAACATTAGGAAGAAAAAAGAATCACGCAACACATACACACACACACACACACACACACACACCGTATTCACGCAACTAAATGAAAATGCTAGAAGAAAATAACGGTTTTTTTTTTTTTTTTAACTTGGCATCTGATAATATAATCTGACATAAGATCTCGCTCGCGATTTAAAAGTCGATTACAAACGGTTTTTCTTCATCGTGCAGGTATGTACAAGTACATCGGCGTAGATGAGAAAACCTCGGTGCAAACGAGAATTCCAAACAATGATTTGTCGCTGCGAGAATTCCCGAGGAACTTAAAATCGGACGCGAAGACAAAGAAGATCTTTCGCTTCTGCAATTTGCCGCACGAGATAACTGCGGATACCGAAGGTACTCCATACGATCTTTTTTCCTCCTCATTTTCCATAAAACGACACCGAAATGTATTCCAGTTCACCATCATCGATATTTTAATATTATTAATCAATAATTCTCATTAATCACAATCAAATGAACAGTATCTGAATTAAAGAGGCCGATCGTCAAAATTCAGTCGCAATAAATAGTAAGTGGACACAAAATCAATATTCCATTTGATTTGATTCCGTTCGGAATTAAAAACCACTTTAAATCACTTTTATCTTTTACGCGCAAAAACACTTAAAAGTAAAATTGTGTATTATTATACACGCAATCATACATATATAATACAAATAAAATTTGTTTTTCTTTTAAGTGCTGATTACCGAATTTTTACTGATTACCGATTTTTTTTTTTTAAATACTTGATTTTTTTTTATCATAGGAAAGCTCGATGGCAACTTGACGCTGAGCGGCATCCTGATCTTCGTCCGTCACGGCGACCGGGGTCCTTTGACGCACATAAGGAACATCAGCAGCATCAATTGCGGCGGCGAGCTCGGTAGCGCGACCGACCTGGAGACGATCTACGAGAATTACGTGAGCTTCGTGCAGAACGCGTCGAGCTACTCGAGGGCCGCTTGGGCCCAGTTCCTGGGCCCGTTCCACGGCCTCCCGATATTGCCGGCGAACGCGCGCGACTGCAGGATCGGCCAGCTGACCACCCTCGGCATTCTGCAGCTGCTGAAGACCGGGGTCGCGCTGAGGAACGCCTACTACCACAGGCTCAATCTCGGCAATGGCACCTCCTTCGGCAAGGACGTCATCGTCTACAGCACCTCGTACCGCAGGACTGTGCAGAGCGCGGTCGCGCTGCTGTATGCGCTTTTCGAGAACGACAGCTTCCAAAGTCTGGCGAGGATCAGCCTGCAGGAGAGCCAGAGCTACGCGTTCTGCAGCAACGAGTGCGCCTGTCCCGCCGCCGAGAAGTTCCTCAAGCAGCACTTGAAGGTAAATACTACCTACAGAACGAACCCGCTTTGCAAACCGTTGCCTTCGTGGATGGACCTCGTATACATATTTGATGCGCGAGGCGACGAGATAAAATCATATTGGCGATCGTTTCCTATCAAAATCCGAGCGTTATTAATTATCTTCGTCGCCTTACAGGCATACACATTGCGCACATGTTGACACACATTGATATGCTCGTTTAAGAAAATCGCTGAAAAGTCGCTTTTTTTATTCGGGTTATTTTTTATTGCCAGGTAATTTGAACCTGTGTCGTCGAATCTCTTGAATCTCAGTGTCGTACTCTTACTTTTTTTTTTTTTTTTTAGATATGGAATGAGCTTGCATTTTAACGTCACTTTATCATCTTTTTAAAGAAGATCCGATAAATTTACATTTGCACTATTTCCATCTTCCGAGGAAGTTTTAATGACCTAAGGTCTCATTCCAATTTTCTCAGAAACATGTTTAAATCTGCATCAACATCGCTCTTCTCCTTACTTACTCAGGAAATCCAATACAATTATCTAGGTCATTCTAGGCTGGCAAACGTCGATTTCTCAACGCGTTATCTGAATAAAATACTTGCACGCGATAATATTTTTTTTCATGACAATAATCTTGCCTTATAACGTTTGCCCGCTGTGCGCTGTGCATGACATGTGGAGACATATCACATATTTAATTTACTACGTAAACTTAAATGAAAACGTATTAAAATCTGTATTAAAATTTCAAGAGAAAAGTCACGATTCGTTCCAACATTTCAATTCATAATTAATCCTCTTTCTTTTAAGATCTCATGAAAAAGTTCAGAATTTTCAATTCGAAAATTAACTATAAAGAAAAATTCAAAATTACATTCAGGATTTCCGCATGAAACTTAACTTCAATCAAGCACAATCAAAATCGAGACGAAAGCTTTTAACAAATTCTTAAAGTCTATTTAATCCTACTTTATCCTTTTTTTTTTTTATCGAGATTTCAGTTTACGTTTCCCTCGGGTATAGATGTCATAAAAAAAGAATAACTTGGTTTCAAACTTAATGAAATATTCGTGGTAAGCTCTGTGAGGGGAACGTTCGGCGATAACGTTCAAGAATCGGACGAGCCTCTGCAGACACGTTACTCCTATTTTCCCCAGGAGACCTCCAACCATCTAAAATCCCATCCGGCCGTCGGGGAACTGATCAAGCAGGCGGCAAGCGCCGTGTTTGAGCTCCCGGATCAAGCCCAAACGTGCGATCCGAATACGCTAAGGGACGCTCTGTTAACGTACGTGTGTCACGGCGCCTCGCTGCCGTGTGCGGACCTCGACACGCAGCGCACGTGTGTGAAGAGCGACCACGTTACCGGGCTGTTCGCCTACACGGACTGGGAGTCGAAGCAGGTCGCCAAGAGCAGCAGCCGCAATAAGTACGGGCTGCTGAAGGCTTACGGGATGTTGCGCGGCATCGTCACCTTCATGCTGCGCATCATCTCCGAGGCCAGGCCCAAGATCGTCCTCTATTCCGGCCACGACAAGACCCTGGAGTACCTCGCTACCGCGCTCGGCATCGTCTCGGACGTGGCGACTCACTACGCCTCGAGGCTCGTCATCGAGGTCTACAAGATCAACTCGCGAAACGACAACCGCCTCGCCAGCGACTTCTACTTCCGCATCGTCGCCAACGGTCGGGATCTCACGCCGAGAGTCCCGTTCTGCAGGAACGCAAACACCTACGTCAGCGACGACGGGGAACCGATGGGCAAGAAAGGCGTCAAGCTCTGCCCGATAGAGAACATTGTCAGGCAGCTGCACGACGATTATTTCGTGCCGTTTAACGCGACGAACTTTAAAGACGCTTGTTCGAGCCACAAGATTCGCTAAAGTTAAGACAGACATACTTAACTAAAGTAAAATCGATCGTGGGAAAATAGGCGAGTTAAAAGGAATCGAGAAAGACTCATCTTCGGCGATAGCAAATATTTTGTCCTTAAAATTAGAATCTTAAGACTTTAGCACTCTTTAGACTTTTACATCTTTTTATCGTGAATACAGTGACTGTTTAACCGCGCTATATTCATATGTATTAAACACGAAATAAAAGAAAAATGACTTTATACAATATAACTTTAGGCATTATAGTCTCCTCTTATATAAACGAAATGGCTGTGCGCCAGAATAAAAATAGATAAAAGCGAAAAGGAACAGAAAGCATTTGCCACATAGAGTCAATTTCTTATTATAGAGATCAGAATTTCGACAAGGATGAATTTTTATCAATTCTTTTTAATTCACCTACTTCTCGAATAACAAGTAGATATATCGAGCGGATCAAGATCCGCGGTTCAAGAACAAGTTTTCCAACTTACAATTTATAGATAAATAAGTAATGTGAAAGTAATTAATACTAACGTACGAAATACGTCTGAAGTGAACTGATCCTTCAATTTTCGTAGTAAATTTCTCTTATGCGGTATAAACCACTTAAAACATAATTTTCTCACCTAATAAGAAAGTATTTTGATTCTATCAGAAATGATCAAATAGATATAAGATATTTGTTCTTTTCACATTCAGAACAAGTCTAGTTCACATTTTTTTTACATCTCGCTATATCGACGCACAGTTAAAAAAATTTAAGAAATTATAATAAAATCAAAGAAAAACGACAAAAAAGAGTACATTGTCATTTTAGCAAGGAACAAGCCTTATCTTCATAGATTATACATTTAAAATTTTAACGTATCTTTAGATAAATTTAGAAACAATAGAGCTAACGAGAACCGATTAATCGATTATTATATATTTTATCATACACTCTATTGTATATATGTAAATATATATATAGTGCTCTAAAAATATACTATACTAAAAACATAATCGTATTCCTTTCCCAATTATGCGCAATACAGTAAACAATTACGATAAAGTAAAAAGAACAGATAAATTTGATTTTTAAACAATTTTTACATTTTTACATTTAAACATTTTTAATAATTTTAATGAATAAAATCTTTACCTCAAGTAGCGAGATTCATTTCACGTTTTAGAAAATCATCATGATCGTGCAGACTAATATCAGACTTACTTTGTAAACGAAAAATTCTGAGTTCGAGCCTGATCGGTTCTTAATAAATCTTACAATAAAAAAAAAAACTCAGCATAAAAATATTCTTCCCCGTGTTGATTAACGATTCTGTCGCTTTCTGTATTCCTCCTGATTTCCGGCGATGTTATGTCTTCCAATTTATGGAAGAACATAGAAATTCTTCATAAAATACAGGCCTTGATTTGCACACTACTCATCCTTAGACACAGAATCGCCGAATTTTAATTTTTACTGTGCTACAGTTTTTATGTTTCATTTCACATCGTCGGTTTTCGTAATTATAAAAGCTGCATATATTAAAAAAATCGATTCTTTATTACAGGCTTCAGGAAAACGACACATGCAACTTGCGATATATAAAAAGCTTATTACAATTCGTTGGTAAATAAATAATAAACGTACGCGTCTTACGGCGTACAAGGCACACAATTTTACATATTTATACTACCTACAATATTTTAACTTACGCAATAACAGTATGTCGCAAATAAAAGCAATATCTGGCTTAAAGCCGGATTATAATTTTCTCAGAAATTGCTTTTACTCGCTAACGTTCGATAAAAGCCTCT